ACACTGCCCATATGTTTGATGTTATAAACGTCTCAATTTTCTGTACCTCATTTGTTTGTAAGGCTATGTTCCAATCAATTGATGCAATTTTTCTTACTACTGTATTGATGTTAAACTTAGAGAAGTCTCGATATGTTAACATTTTTTCAAATTTTCTGCTCACATAATATTTAATTTGACCATAGATAAGTTTATGATCAGTAATTTGTTTGCCCCTATAGTCAGTAATATCTGACGTGTCAATTACTCCACATTTCTCAAGTTTGGTACCTTTCTCTACATATATATGGTCAATCAATGTGGAGGTCTTTTCAGTTACTCTGGTAGCAACATTAATCATTTGCAGAACATTTGATGAGCGAATGAGCCTTCTTAGATATTTAGCTTCACAATTGGTTTTTGATAAAAGGTCTATGTTTACATCTCCAAGCATTATAACTCTATCAACCTCTGCAGCAAGATCTACAAATACTGCCTGAAATAGTGATTCTAATTTTGTGTAGATGACACCAGGAGGCCTGTATATAACACAAACTCCGAGTCTCACACCCTTGCTCTTTATAATGACGCATAAATGTTCCAATCCAGAGTCTACCTCATTCAGGCTATACACACGAAAGTTAATTGTGTTCCTAATAAAAATTGCAACACCACCCCCACCGCATGTCCCCTGTCTATCAGACCTAATAAGGTCATACCCAGGCAGTTTATATCTATCAGAAGATATACCATTAGAGAGCCAAGTTTCAGACATACCTATAATGTCAAACTGAAAATCTGAAATGATTGAGCTCAGCTCCTCAAAACCTGTGCCCAAAGATCTTATATTGACATGAGCAAATGCTAAGCTGCGCCCCTTTGAGCCATTGGTATCTCGTTTCCCGAGGCAATAGTATTATCAGCTTCCGATTGAGTATCAAGGGATGCAGTCAACTCAGTGACTGAGGGTTGTCTTACGAGCAACAGAGTATCACTGGTATCAGATTGGTTCGCCTTTAAAAACTCTGTTAAGATGCTAGAAAATAATTTTCCCAGGCTGATGGTACCATCCCTGTTAAGATGCCTGCCATCTCTAGACAAATGCTGCTTACCAACCCAGCAGTTCGCCTCGACAAACACAGCCCCAAAGTTATTACACATTAACTCGAGTTGATCATTGAAACCAAAAAGGGCTTTATAGGAAATATCTGATCGGATTAAAATAATTGGCCAATAGTGGTATTGCTTTCTACTAGCTAAGCTTTTGCTTAGGATTAAAATTAGGATATTAGGCATATAATATATTGTTTTTCCTACAGTTAACTAACAATGTACATGTTCTCTCACTGATTTAAGAAAGCAAAGTGGCCAATTCGCTCATCAGTGAGACAATGTTAACATTGTCTCACTCTAATTACTTTGTCTCACTCCAGATTTGCAACGTGAAGGCACGAAATAGTGAGCGCGTAACATGCAGGCAACGTCGTATGCGCGCGAAATACGTTGGCAACACTGGCTGAAAATCAGCTGGTCAGCTGTTGTACTGTTGTATTTGTCACTTCACATTAAATGTCATATTAAAAGTTCACTTCTGTGTAAAAATAGGTTATGATTCTTCACCAATTTATTTGTTTTATGGTAACTGTAGGAAAAGTATAATGTGCAACTCGAGTTCAAAGAACAATTGCCTCACTCGAGAAACCATTCCTCACTCGCCTACGGCTCGTGAGTAAGGATTTTTCTCGAGTGAGTCAATTGCTCACTTTTCTCACTAGTTGCACAAATAACTATTATCACTATTCGTAAATAACACGTTCAATTGTTCGTATATGAATAACTTAGACTTCCAGTATAGACCTCTGTGTTCAAAATACGGTGAAAAAGGGAAGACTATAAACGCTGTGTGTCCGTAGAGACGATAACTTGAGTTACTTTTGACTTGAGTCTGATTTCGATGTAATTTGGTTTGAAGGTGTAAGGCGGGATTAATTTGAATAATTTTGCGAACCGGCATAATCGGACCATAGGAACGGAGTTCAAAGAGGGGTTAAGGGACTAAAATAGGATTTTCTCTTTTTTACCCTTATAACACAAAATTTATCAATTTTCCTCCGAACCTTTTGAAAGACCTTGAAAAAACAAATAATGTAGTATGTAAAAGTGTTTTTGTACGGTTATTGGTTAAGGAGAAAATAAAAAAATGTTTCATTTAAAATTCCAATGTTATTTTTATGGACGATATTGTAAATGTAGTAGTTGGCTTGTTTATGGATATATTTTGATCAAACTAGGCAAATTTATTTATCCAACACTAAGCCATTAATATTTTAATAAAAAATCCACTTTATTAGTTTACCTTTAGCAGCAAACCTAGGCACTCTTAAACAATGTTAATTTAATAGATTAATTGAAAATCAACCCAGGCAAATGGAAATTCGCTTAGTCAACAGGATTGCTGCACCCAGGGTATTTATATAGTGGGAACATTCCTATGGACTAATTACATTGATTTTCTGTGCTTTTATTTGCATAAAAGGGGGTAATGGTCTTATTTTAAGTAAAATAGTTGGTGAAATCGTAACATGTAGCAATTTTAAAGACATCATAACCGGAAACTGCAGTGGGTCCAGACGTGACACCCGAGTTAAAAACACTTCTATAGACGCATACATCAACATTGAATGGTAAAACTGTCTATATATGACTCGTACACAGCCATCGATGTCGGATTTATATGAGTTTTTGCGCCAAATTAGTTTGTTTTGTACGATTTTTCTAGTTTCTTGACGTGATCCTTTGAGTAAAGCATATCGAATTTGGTATTTTTGTAAAGCCATTTTAACGTGCTACAACTTTCTCTTTAAGTTATTTCTGATATATTGTTTCAATAAAACGTAATCAACAAAAATAACACAAAAATATTTAAAAATATAGGTTTTTGCAAAATTATGAAAAATGCACTAAACATACAACAAAAGTGTAAATGTATGAAAGATAGCATGTAAACTTATCTTTCAAACAAAAGAAAAGTTCATTCCGATCCGATACATGGTATGTAAAATATAGTTATTTTTAATATAGCCCTTTCCGCCATTTTGATGACGTCATAACCGGAAACTGCAGTAGGTGCAGAAGTGACACCCGAGTTGAAAACACTTATTTAGACACATACATCAACATTGAATGGTAAAACTGTCTATATAAGACTTGTGCACTGCCCTAGATGCCGGACTAATAGGCGTTTTTGCGCCAAAATAGGTGTTTTTATGAGATTTATCTAGTTTCCTGACGTAATATTTTGAGTTAAACATATCGAATTTGGTATTTTTGGAAAGCTTTTTAAATGTTCTACAACTTTTTCCATTAGTGGTTTTTGATATACTGTATCAATAAAACGTTACACACAAAAATTACACAAAAATATTAAAAAATACAGGTTTTTGTAAAATTACGAAAAATTTATTAAATCTACAACAAATGTGTAAATGTAAAACAGATAGCATTTAAACTTATCTTTCAAATAAAAAAAAGTTCATTCCGATCCGACAAATAGTTTGTGACATATACGCTTTTTAAAAATCAATGGCCGCCATTTTGATTACATCATAGCCGGAAAACGTGGGGGGTAGGAGGTAAACACCCAGGTTTTTAAAACTCCCTAGTCATCAAACTAAAACATTTTGCAAGAATATTGAGTATACGCAAGTTTGCACACTAAAGTATAGCTAGCTGCAGGACTAATAAGGAAATTGAGGACTTTGGCTGAAATAACATACTTATCTAAAGAAGTTTTTTAAATTAAAGTTTGTTCACTTTTATACACGAGTTCATATTGTATTGGAAAAACTAATTACAAAGTTATGTTCAGGATTTGGTTAAACAATACAAGCCAGTGATAAGTTCTTATTATCAATTTTAAAAATTTATAATTTTCAACTTAACTCAGAACAATAGAAAATTGTAAATTAATTCAAATATATCACAGATTTTGAAGTCTGAAGTGACACTAGCTGCTAGTTATTTTTTTAATCAAAAGACAGAATATTTCTTTATTACAGTTAAGAACATTTTAATAACTAATAATAGCATTTTTTGGCTTATACCTTCTATTTAAAGTTCCAATTACATTGATTGTACCTTTTTTGTTGTTGAAAATTCAAACAGTTAGTTGATTAAACAATAAAAAATGTTTACGCCACACTACACTATTTTGATGAACTTCCCACGCAAGGATTTAGTCCAGAAAACAGCTGTTTGCCGCCAGCTTAATCAAATGGGGTTTCATTGCGTACTACTTACCGGACACCAATCAGCTGATTAAACTGTATTTGCGTGGCAATTTGCGTGTTTATAAACAAAAACATAACCTCTCTTAGAGATTATGACTAATGATTTTTAGTCCTTTAGTTGGTGGTCATATATAAAGATTTGTAAAGATTTAGTAGTATGGCGTAAACTATCGTGCGTAACTCGTCCAAAATGTGTTTACCGGACTCGTATGGTAAACTGGTCCGGTAAACACTTATTTTCAGGACTAGTAACGTAATATACTATTGTTTATTTATGTCGGAAAAATCCAAAGAGAAAGTAAACATCACTTTTGCATAGTAAACATTCTTTTTGTGTATTAAAGACAATGTATTGACGAATCTTCAAATATTCATATTATATATATATATTCAAGTATATAAAAGGAGATAAAAATAATGGATAACAGGAACAGGTGAAAAATTATATATTTCAATTACAATTTTTTAGGTTAAGCCTTTAATTTAAAGTAAAAATTTACATTGATTGTACAGCTTTGTTTGTTGCAAATTGAAACAGTTGATGAAACGATAACAAATCTTCGTTTGTTTACGACGGCAAAATCCAAAAAAGATCGTAAACATTACTTTTGCATAGTAAACTTTCTTTTTGCGCGGTAAACAATGTAATGATGAATTTTTGCAGGCGATAAACATATTTAAAAAACAGGTCATTTCACAGTAGTGTACTGAAAAATAAATATCATAGCTTACCTGCATTTTCAGATCAGGGGATAAGCCTGGAGCTTTCATCATTTTCTTGACATCTCTACGACTCTCAACTAATTTTCTTATTTCTGTTGGGAGGATTCCAAGTTCTTCATCAGCATCTGGAGGTTCTGCAGTTATCATTGTGCCTTCTTCCTACATAATATAACTTAGGTTTAACACTTATGCTATGCTACAATATGTTATTTTCCTAGGTTATATAGGTAGGCTGCATAGTTTTACATATTCACCCTCGGGTTCAACATTCATAAAGAGGAGATTTCTAGTAAGGAACGTTTTAACACGTTAACTACCAAGCGGCATAAAACACACACAGAGAAGTAAAGTGTCTAGTAGGGAACATGTCCAGAATGTGATTCTAGTTTATTGGATGGTAGGATAAGTAAAATGTCCATTAAAGTAACTATAGTTCGGCCGCTTAGAAAACGACCTGCGCGCTAATGCTAAACCAATGTTAGAGGAGGTCGCTTTCTAAACGGCTGAACTATAGTGATGTGTCAATACCAAATTTGATCAATTATCGATACCTATACTTAAAAAATCAATCCTCGATACGGATACAAATTTTTTAAATTTTTTATAATTTACAAAATTTTCTGAATGGGTTGGTGATACTACACCAACCCCTGTCTTTATGTCCTTCTACAAAGTACTTTTGAGGTAATTGCCTGTAAGTTCAAACCCTTCTAAAAACATTAAATAACTACCATATCATCAAAGGTAAATGAAGATTTAACAAAAAAAAAAAAATCAAAAATCAAATTGTATTATAACTGATATTTTCAATCAAAGCCAAAATCGAGGTAATATCATGATCATCTTCTGCGGTCGTATAGACATCATCGTCACCTTCTGGGGTAATTAGCAAAATCCTGAATATCTTCCTCAGCCAAGGAAACATCACTGTAGACCGTGGTCGTGATGAAATCATTGTGACGGTAGTCACTATTTTCAAAATCATTTTCCTGGGTTCATATTGTAAAGAAAAAAACCTGGTATTTGGATTTCATAATTCAAATACCAGTTTTGGGTTAATTGGACATAGAGTGCAAACTTTTTTATTTTATTATATGCCCACCTACTTAGTCGATCTGACCATTGAATCCTACGAATTCAATTCAAAGGTGGTCTGGGACTGCCTCTCTGCAGTATGCGACCTGGGCAGGCGCAACAAGATAACACTCTGTTCTGTTGGGTTCCTGGGCACTCAGGGATAGAAGGGGATGAGGTGGCTGACAGGCTAGCAAATGTCGTGTCAGCCTTAGACTTTGTGGGACCACAGTCTTTCTGTGGAATCTCTCGTGGGCAAGCATGTCACTCAGTCATGTCATGGGCTCAGGAGGAACACAGGAAAAGATGGGTTAGGCTTCAGCACCACAGGGTAAGTAAGCTCCAATGCTCTACGTTTAGACAGGAGGCAACTCAGACGGATCACAGGAATGGTCACTGGCCATGGCTTCCTGAAATTGCACCTGCATCGCTTGAGGATCCACAATGGAGACATTGCGTGTAGGAAATGTGGGCAGTCAGAGGAGACTGCTGATCACCTACTCTACGACTGCACAGCTCTGAACGAGGTAAGGGACAGTACTCTTGGCGCAATGACAAGGGGCAGACACCTTCCTCAGGAGGAGCTCATAGACAGGATGCTGAAGTTCATTAAGCAACTCAGGTTTGACGGACTCTGAAGTACCATGTGGGGAGCTCAAAAAGCCCACTGGCTGACGGGCAACAGGACAAGGTCCGCCCCTACAGAATCAATCAATCAATCAATCACCGAAAGGTGATACACTTGTCCACAGTCTGTCTGAGGGAACACTCCAGCTGTCGCCTTGTTCACTGGTAAGGCGACTACTTTTTAACTTATAATTTTAAAGTGTAGGTTTAGTATTTTCAGTGATTGTCTGAGGTAACCTGATTACTAATTGAAATTTAAAGTGATTTAAATTTAAATAGTCTTGATTGTTTTAAAATTCTCATATTAATTAAAAAGAGCTTGTTATATTAATTCTATTGGAAATAATTAAGTATTTTATTTAGTTTCTCTACATTTCTTTTTGTATTACGATCCCTTGCTACGACCCCAAGTCACAAATTAGGCTCAAATCTAATCGTGGAATCATTAACTCCTGCGGTTGTGATGACATCATCAATTCCCGCAGTCGTGATGACATCATCGAATGCCCCGGTCTTGTGGACATTACAATGGACTCCCGCAGTGGTGTGGACATTACCATAAACTACCGCGGTCGTGTGAACATATTCATCGACTCCCGTGGTCGTGTGGACATTACCATCGACTCCCCCGGTTGTGTGAACATAGTCATCAACTCCCGCGGTCGTGTGAACATAGCCATCGACTTCCGCGGTCGTGTGGACATTACCATCGAATCTCACGGTCGTGTAGACATCATCAAAGTCATCTTCTGTGATCATGGCATAATCCTGAATACCCCTTGCGGTAACGGAAACATCATCATCGTCATCCACGATCCCTTAAAACTGATCATCTCCCACGGCAGTATAGACATCATCATTAAATCCGTGGTTACGGAAACGTCATCATCATTTATGTGCGACAATTGCAAAATCATTAATATCTCCAGCGGTCGTGCAGACATTATTGTCATTTTCAGCAATCACAGAAAATTCTTTAATATTTTTGGACGTTTAGAAATAATCATTGCCTTTGTTGATCGCGGCAAAATTCTAATCATCTCCCTCGGCCATGTAGACATCATCATTAACTCTTGAAGTCACGGAAACGTCATCGTCATCTTGCGTGATCGCGGCAATACCACGAACATCTGCCGGGACCGTGTACACATCGGTGATATCAAGAATAGACACATCCCTAAAAGTAATCAATTTTAAAGTATATTGAGAAATAAACTAGATTTGTATAACACTTACACTCTCTGTTACAACTTTGATGACTGTGGTGAAGCAGATGTTGTATTCATGTATAATACTGGGATATAAAGAGTTGAAGTCCATCAACAATATCAGTTTGTCATAGAAGCCTACTTTGGGATCCAGGACCAAACCTCCAGCATAAGATGGTTTCTTGCGACCACCTTTTTTTGGCTGTTCTGCATCCACTACAGTCTCTTCATCATGTGCATCTCCCTGTTAACACGTTACTTAATACTTATTACTTTTTAATTTATTTGCTGTAATCAACAAATTAAAACAGAATAAATTGGGTATTAATGTTCTTCTTAGTGTTCACCCTTGTTCTGTACTATTAGTTTGCAATTTGATTATTAGTGAACACAGCTAGTACTAGTGGGTAGAATGTGAGACTTCTGTTTTGAAGGACTGGATTCTAATTCCGTTAATCATAATTGGCTTTATTTAGCTAAGTGAAAGGAAATGAATACACTAGGTATTCTAGGCAAGACAAATTATTTAGATTATAAAAATTACATAAAAAAGGGCCAGCACACACAATTTGAGTTAGAAACTTTTTTAAATTGTATACATTAGAACTTTAATAACAAGATTCTCATAGGGAGTATTACACAAGACTTGTTATATAAAGTTTGAATTCTTATCGAGGTTTGCAATAACATGAGATTAGGGGTAAAAGAAATTCAAGGGGATTTTAAAATTACTCTTGTTATCAAGATTTGTCATTATGGATACAGGAGAGAAGAATTGAAAAAAAATGTTTATGTTCAAACACTGTTTCTATTTAGTTTATGGCACATATAAAGTGTACAGTAAAAACACCACACACTATATATTTGAGCTTAAAAAAAGAGTGGTAGGCTTTTGAACTGTGGTAGTGGTTGTTTATTTGCGGCTAAGTTATTAATTTGTTTTGAAAGGCGGTACGAAATATGTTTTTTTATTTAAGAGAAATCAGAATTATTGAGGGTTTGGATTTTTGATGTCCAAACTATCAACATTGTAGCCTACTGTATTTTTTTTTGTTAAAGATAACCGTTAAGCGCAAGTAAGCGAACAACCGATAAACAACTAAACAGTGTACAAATATTTCAGTTCACAAATATTTTAGGCTAGGCAAAAATATAAGGTTAAAAATTAGTGTTTGGCGTTATATTGATTGTTAATATTTATTTACCCCATTGCACTCATTTCATATGTCTAACATACTAACATTTCGGTAGTGTATTAAAATAAAAATAACCTTCTCTTTTATTCATCGGAATGCAGTACCAAACGTTACATAGTATAGCAATTGTTTTTAGAGTAGTATTTTGTTGTTCTTTATATTATTTGTCATTGCGATAACACGCAAATAAATGCTTCAATATTTCTCATATTCATATTTCTTTAATTTTTTACAAAGATGTTTCAATGAATAGGCCTAGTGTCAATAAAAAGAAATACAATTACAATGAAAATAGTAAATAATAACAGTTAAAATAATAACAACAAGTCTTTAGTTAAGAATGAAATACAAAATTAAAATAGCCGATTAACTTACTTGTCAACCTTTGTTAGGTCCTTGGAAATCTAATGTTGTATTTTTTCCGTGGGGAAATTATAATAAATCGTGGTAATGAAGATTTTGTTTTCAGTCCAAAACGTCAAAATCCATAGTCTGTTCGAAAAAGTCATATATGTAACGGATAGTGTCAGATATCAAATTTGGATTTGGTTCGGTTTGGATATCCAAAGCCAGCATAATTTTTCGGATATCCGCACACCTTAAGTAAAATTAAATTGTGGGTCCCACAAGGATCAATTTTAGGATCCACTGTTGTTATCTTTAAACTCACTATTATTCTAACAAATTCACCATCCAACCTCTTAATATATCATGATACCATGGCTATAATCAAAGCAAAAAAGATTCTTAAACTTTGAAGCACAAGAACTCACTTCAAGAATTGTGAAGGTGGTTTTGCACTAATGGCTTGACATTGAATACCATAATTTTCAAGATGAAAATAATAGCATTTCAAACATTACAGATACATTGCCGCAATCTGAACTGAATGTCAACCGGTACCGTGTGTGCGACAGGCACTCAAGTTACAACAGTTTGAGCTGAAGACAAAGGTAAATACCTATTTTTAATTATATTTACCTGAGAAAATGCAGAGTAAAAGGCCTGATGTTGTTTAGTTGGTTTTTGTTTCCCTTAACTATCTATGAACTATTGTGTTGTGTGACTTTTTATGTTTCCATAGTTTACAAATCGGTTCTTTCAATGATTGTCAAGAAATACAGTACTATAGGTATTACGTACAGTACTATGTCAATTCAATGTTCTTATTTTATATCAAATTGTCCAGGCTTTCTCACATTTTCCATTGTAATATGTACGCAAACCCAAATTCAAAGAGTAAGTATTTAATTTCAACCAGGTCAGTAAGATTTAATTTTTGTAGGACGCATTTCCTTGAATTGCAACTTAAATATTAACAGCAAATAAATTATCCAGCTGATCATAATGTAAACAAATATTTTCTTCATAAGGATAACATAGAAACTTAAAAAAACCACTGGGACAGAGCCCAAGGGATTTAAAATACCCCCGCCGCAGCAAACCTGCAGACTAAGCGAATTTCCATTTGCCTGATTGGATTTACACTAAAATGTCTCCTTAAAAATATCACATTTATTATTCCCTATTTAAATTGAATCTGTTTAACACATACTTAGGTTTGCTGCAACAGGGAGGGTTAAAGTGTTTTTTTTATGTAAAATGTTAATAGTTAGTAAGAAATAAAAACATTTTCCAAATTTGGGCAAAATATGATAATAAATAAGCAAACTACAACAGTTTACTTATCCTCCATAAGAATAACATGGGAATTTTAAATTTACAATTTTTTTGAATTTTCTCCATAACCATTAGGCGCATTATAACGCTTCAATATACTAAATTATTTGTTTTTTTAAGCTCTACAAAATAGTTTGGAAAGAAATTGCAAAAATTTAAGTTTTTTGGTTCAAAAATGGGAAAAACCCATTTTTACCCCCATAAAAGCCCCCATAAACCCCCGTTCCCATGGTCCGATCATGCTGGTTCGCGAACTCGTTCGAATAAACGTAGGTTTACACGTTTGTACAAAATTTTATCAAAATCGGATCATTTTTGCTTGAGTTATCGCGCTAACGGACACATATATATATATATATATATGAATTTGAACGGATGCTATTTTTGGCCTCTAGGGACCTCAAAACGAAAAAAAAAAAAAAAATCGGTCCCAGGTCCAGGTCTTACCATGAGTACTACGGTAATAGCTTATTCCCTATATGGGAAATTCGCTAAAAGAATGTAAGGTCAGTTTTCAAATCTACCCGACACGCTCTTTCCAATGAGATGTCAATTGTCAAAATCGGTTAAGAAATGGCGGAGGAGTTCAATAGAAAAATTTTGTGTTGGGGCATTAATTATTAATCTATACTAATATATAATAAACGGTATCAGCATTCTGACACATACTTTCTCCCATAAGTTTGTCAACAACCTTTATCATGTGTAAGCGGTGAGAGTAAATATACGGAAATGGGATTTGTAACATTTTGTTCAGATTTTAAAGGACTATAATATACTACATTTTTATCAAAATCGTTCTAAAACCATTTTTGGAAAAATCCGATTTTTCCGTTATTTTTTGGGGTTTTTATGGGAAAATAACATAAAATAACTTTTAAACCGTAATTTTTACAGAAATGGGATTTGCACCATTTTGTTCAGAATATAAAAGACCATAACATACTACATTTTTATCAAAATCGTTCGGGCCGTTTTTGGGAAAATCCTATTTTTCCGTTATTTTATGGGGATTTATGGGAAAATCCCCATTAAAAATCTAAATTTATAAAAAATTGAAAAAACTATCAAAATTGTAAGGACCATAACATACTATGTTGAATAAAAACCGAATTATTTTCAACAATCCTATTTTTCGTTATTTTATGGGGTTTTTATGGGAAAATAACATAATTTACCATAACTTTTGAACCGTAATTTTTAGAGAAATGGGATTTTCACCAGTTTGTTCAGAATTAAAAGGGCTACAACATACTAAATTTTTATCAAAATCGTTCGGGCCATTTTTGAGAAAATCTGATGTTTCCGGTTTTTTATGGGTTTTTATGGGAAAATCCCTATTAAAAATCAAAATTTCAAAAAAATGAAAAAAAACGCCTGGAGATACCATGGATTAGAACCTACATACCAAATTTCATCGAAATCGGACCACAGGTGTAGTCTCTAGCTCTGTACACATCCAGACACACAGACACACACACACACACACAGACATCACTTCGAAAACCACTTTTTTGGGTCCAGGGGGACCCAAAACGAATATATCCACTCAAAACTCAAACTCGAAAATTTTGACGAAAACAATACTTTCTCCATATACTATGGTATAGGGGGAGAAAGTAAAAATGAGATGGTGTGTGTGTCTGTCTGTTACTTAATAATGCAAGAACCACTGAACCGATTGAAATAAAGTTTTTTTGAATGAAGGTAGCTGATATACCTGGTTAACATATAGTCCTATTCCTGTTATTATATTTCCCTTGGGCTATGCCCCTAGGCTTCCAAAGTTTCAATGTTTACATTTTGGAAGAATGTAAATAGTAAAAAGTATTAATTGAAGTCAGCTGTAAATACTATTTGACAGTTCAAACAGCAGAGGTTAAGAGGTACAGGTTCTGCTCTCAAGATTCTAAAGTTTTATGATTATGAGAATAGTTTGATTAAAATATTTATGAAAATATACTTATTTTCATAGAAACAGAAGGATCACTACAATGTATATTTTTTTTGGAATAATTTTGATATGGTAGCTTTATATTTACAAATTTGAACTCATAAACAAAATATGTTTGGATCAGGACTTTAATAGATTTTAAAAACTAAGAGATATGTACTGGTACAGTTTTATAAATTTAACTGACTTAACTTTTACACTTTTATTTGTGTTTAAATTCAATTTAAAAACTAAATTTCAACTATACCTACTTTTATTCTGTCCAGAGGTAGCTACTACTTATATTTTCTTCTATCATCTGCTTCACATTAGTTTTTTTTTTTATTTACAGAAATCTCCTTAGTAGTTGTATATTTACAACACAGCTTTAATTTGACTATGGAGAATATCACAAAACTAAGCTGCACGCAATTAACTTTTGTATCTAAAATCAATTAAAATCTGTAACGTAACTATGTTTTTTTACTCGATGTTTAAAATAATGATGTAAATTAATGCAAATACATACACGTATTGAACTATGGAACGAGTTAAAATCATTACTGTCATGTATTACGTTGTTGATTTGTATTTAAATTGATGAAATTTGTGCCCTGATTGACAATAATAGTGGTTGGTTTTCTAAAAAAAGGTAATACAAGTTTTTAATTAGTTTATTTTTGCTTATTATTGTGATTAATACACACTGATCTGCAGGTAAAGATTGAACTTTGAAAAAAGCTCATTAGCTACGGTAAAACATATCAATTATATGTGAAATCAATATAAACTTCTCTTTTTTTTGCTTAGCTACAGTGCTTTATGTTGTGCGATTATTTTTCCTTATTTACTTTATATGTACGTTTATCAACGAAATAAATGTTTAAGTAAGCTTATCATTTGAAAATTGAATCGTATGGGTACATTATTTCCATAAATGTATCAGCGCCTCATATAATTCGTACTAGGTTGCCTTATAAGTTAGCCTAGCCTTAAAGAAAGATATTTTCAAACTAAGAGTTTCAATTGAGTTATGTTCCTGAAACCAAAGAGGAACGTGTAACTATTTTATACAACAGATTTCAAAAATCAAATTTTTTCGCTTCAGTGTCCTCTCCGTTGCGAAGCACGGGTACAACAGCTAGTCATCTATATATTAATACGCAAGCAGTTTTCTTTTCACAGTCATAACTCGATAACGGCTTGACGGATTTTAACGTTTGAGGCGTCAAAATAAAGGTATTTTCACATAGATGTGCAAATACGTCTCAGAATATTAAGAAAGGGCATCACTTAAGTACAGTTAAGGGCTTAAGTTTGGGAACGGCGGCGCTATCTGTTGACATTAGATCAAACCATCAAACTCAATTCCCTTTGTTTACAGCTAAACATATGGACGTACTGTAGTTTGAAATAGTTTTTAAGTTTAACCACAGACTGCAGGACTTATTACTTTCAGAGCAAAGTTGGAATTTTATATTTTTATTTAAACATCTGTTAACTAAGTCTGATTCATAAATAAAGAGTAGCGGACTCGGGGGGCGAGCCAATGGCAGCCAATAACAATACCCCAAGCACCGAAGGGTGGGAAGGGGGAATGTTTGTTTGGTGATTGATATGTACTGTAATCTCAAGTGTCAAAACAATGTCTTCACTTCAGTCGATGTTCAATATCTGACCGTGACAGGCGTTAATTTTTTGTTAGTTTCTAAGTTGTCTTGTCGTTATATATATTTTAGTGATAGTTAAATATTTTAAATACATAAGTTATTAAGGTGAACAGTTTTAATTAAGTAGTTGTTGATATCAAGTGACCAATCTTATGTGACATATTTCAACAAGTTGAAAAAATGAAAAGGGTGGAAACGCGTTAAAATGTTTATTGTGTTTGTATCCAAAACAAAAATAATTAAAGCATCCGTCACAAGTGCTTCGAGGTAAGTGGAGAAAAAGTATGATGGTCTCGTTTTTAACTTGAAGTGGAATAGGCCTATATATTTTTTTTATTAATATAATTTTTATTTTTTAGTACAGTTATAGTGTATTTCTCAATGTGTTTCCCATGCTCTTTTAAACTTTATCTCGCCACAAATAGGTCACTTTTAAATTTAGTAGTAAACTATACTTTTATCACACTTGAAAAACTACTTCATCAGACTTAAAAATATTATCTGATAATTCGTAATCCATTAATTGCTGCGCATTAATTGTTGAACAATAAATTTTAGTGTAAAATTCAGCTAATTGAACATCAACAAACTGTGTTTTTACCTAACCGGGAACTTCAGTTGTAACTTATGTTTGTGTATCGAAAGTAATGTTTATGTCAGGAAAGGTGAGATGATCACTATTTGTTTTTGTCTTTTGAACTATTGAAAACAGAGTGATGACAAGTTTTTGTATCAACTTTGTCGGGGAAATAAATATGTGCACTCGAGTTTGAGCCTAAATATATCTGAGATGAATTATCCGATTTTGTTGAAACAAAAATTAAATATAAGATGGTTTAAATACATTTTACGTGGCGTCAATTAAAAAATTTTCGTTAACCAGAAAAAATTATATAGTTGAAAGATCCTAAAATGTACCGGTTTTTAAGAAACTCTGCACTAACACTGAAGTTTAAAATTTATTTGTAAACAAACCACTGAGCCGATCTTTCTGAAATTTTTATGGCTTATTGGTAGGTTCATTGTTAACATTTCTATGCATTTAAAAAAAATTATTCACAATAGTTTTTATGCTGCTGTTAATTTTTAAAATGTATGCTAACATCGTTAATAAGACACTGAAAATTTTGTTCAAAATACCATCGTGTTTGCCGTGACACAAGAAATAACACTAATATGACAGATTTTATAATGCGAACAAAGGTGGTTTTTAAACAGATTTATATTTGTAGAAAAAAATTTCTCCCGTGACTGGTAGCGGGCCGCCTGGTGTTTGTACGATATTTCCCAGCCGGGCAGGAGCGCGTGCGAATCTACGACATTGCCGATGTGTACCTGGCCACCACACTGACATTGCTTCAGTATTCACTCATGGCAAACTAATGAGCAAATCATTATTTAGTTATAAATTTACTAACAAAATATTCACTAGTCATGAAACAAATACATTATAATAAGATAACTACAAATATAAATCTACAAATTAAAAAACACCTTTGTTCACTGCGAACGCCTGTTCAGAGCGGCAAGCCTAGTCATCACTAACAGAGTAACAGACGAGAAAGAATCAGCGACACCAATTTTGAAAAACAACTTCTTTTAAAGTTTAATAGGCATTTAAAGTAAATTTTGTTGTAGTAATGAATGTTTTTACATTACATGTAATGTAAATGTGACGATGTTTAATTAATATTTAATTAAAACAAAATAATTAGTAACCAAGATGTGTCATTATTTTATTACATATGAAATCCTTTAAAACAACCGTCCAACAAACAGCTATCTTCTACAAATGTCGAAAACTAACTTTATTTTCTATCAGTTAGTTTTTCAACTAACTAATAACTTCTATCAGTTACTTTTTATTGGACTAACTTCTAACTTCTAACTAGTTAGAAATTTTGACTAACTTTCCCAACTATGGCCCTGACCATGAAACCGAAAATCCTTATGGCTGGGTTTGAGAATAGAGTGTCAAGAAAATTTACGGACAATTTCAAGATGTTAAGAGGAATGTTTAAATACACAAATATATGGGCGTTTTCCAGATGTAAATGGCTCGGATGGACAGGCTATGCGTGGAGAGAGGATACACCAACTTTAAAAAAATGTATTTCAAGGAGTATTACAAGTAAGACGACCACTTGGAGGACCAAGCAACGAAAGACTCCTCTAGACTGGGATCAACACTAGAAGAGGCAAGGGATAGAAGAGAATCGGAGGACAAAATCCTATAAAGGTTTCAGTGGCCACTGCAATGTATGCAATGTATGCAATGAAAGGTGATATGTAGCTACTGTACTTTAAACCAGTGTGTGTGAACCGACGAATCTCAATTCAAAGTTTTTCAAATCAACAATCGCTGTTTTATTGTAAAATTATCTTATCTAAAATGTATATCGTATAGGCCTATAATCGGATGAAAGAAATAGGTGGTCAAGTGATTGTTTACAAGATGATTTCCCCTATTAAAACTGCCACAATTTTTCTCTATGCGTTTAAACTAGCTGTTTTGAATTATTATATCCAGTTTTAATCGACTGCTTGATTTCCGTATGTAGGACGGGCCAACAGCTAGTATAGATTATTTCTTAAATTAAAATATTTTTGGAATACTTGACAACTTACAAAATATACTTCTGCTGAACATACTTCAGAAAAAGGGAATACAGGAGTTTTTTGATTCAATAATTTTTCCTTGCTAAAATACCAGTCACAGCATGTACTCAAAACAGTCAAAACGTTCTATAAGGCCATTTCATAGTCTGATATCATGACAAAAACTAGACATAAAAACTTGAATGAACTTGAAAATTGAATATTTAAATATGTAGTTAGCCGATTGTACTCACCTTAGGATTCTTTTTGCCATACTGTTTATCAGGAATGATATAATCCTTTTCTGTAAAGGCATGGAGCAACAGAAACTCGTTCCTTTCAGCTCTGCCTCCCATGAGTGTTCGAGACATCACATTTCCTGCAAGGTACAAATTAGTCAAAATACATTTAATTTTTTTACACGGGGTGTCCCGTTAGTAATCAGCCAAGCTCTGGGAAATGGTTTTGTGGGTCAGAATAAAAAGAAAATAAAGAATATGAAAATTTGTCCAAAAATTAAAAATAAAGAAAACACTATGTTAACTGGATAACCTCAATTTTGTTTTTTACATAAACATATCTTTGAATTTTTCTAAACGATATTTATAAACCTTGTTATGTATTTCAAAGTAAAAGTGACCTATCTTAGAAAATATTAAGTTGAAATAAAAGAGCTGAATTGATGAAAAAAAAGTAAAGATAATTTGTATTTAGCATTTTAAAAACCTAGTTGTAAAAATTAAAATGGCCGCAATTACGAAATTTGAAGTTGGGCCAACTTATTTTTTCCTTATTAGGTATATCTTTTAGTTTAAAATTCACACCAAGTTTTATAAAGATCAATTTTTAAAGCTCAAAGATAAAATGTTTATGTAAAAATACAAACAAAACGGAAAATACCTGGTCAACAAAATGATTTTTAAACAATAATAATTCTTGCTTTTCTCTCCATTCTGACTCACAGAACCATTTCTTGGAGTTTGACTGTATACTTACAGGACACCCATAATATGATACAGTGTACAATAATAGGCTAACAAAGTATTTCCAATAAAGAAAACACCCTGTATGTCTTGGCAACTAATGTGATGAGACTGTTTAGTTTTTTTAACAAGTTAGGTTGGATTATCATTAAATTTTAGCAAACAATGTTCTGAAACAAATTTGTCAAATCATGACTCCAGTTTCTAAAAGGGCCTAACTGTAATCCTGAATGACTGTGCTGTACTGTTAATACTGTTCAATGAAATGGTGACCATACAAAGTAGGTATTTTAAGCCAAGTATGAATGGAGATGAGTGTATGTAAGAGATTTGCATAATAGATCAAAGTAGGCCTACTGTTGTTTTGGTTAGGTTCAATATATGAATCTTTCAATATTGTTTACGTTCCTGCCAAGGAATTCATGTTAAAACTGTGGTTTGGAGTTTAAAAAGCTGGCTTATAGTTCACTTGAAACAATATTCTCATTAATTATTCACTTACCTGCAATGTTAGTTATCTGAAGAGCCAAGGGGATGACATTCATTTCGTACATTAGTTTGAGAATGTAGACAGAGTCCATCATGGTGGCCCAAATAACCTCCAACAAGGTTTTGCTAGAGCTGTAGTGTCCTTTGACTTCATCTGGAGCCAGATCCAACCTTTCCTCTTTTATTTTCAGTACCTTAACATTACAAAATTCTATCAACTCTACTAAATCAGACTTTAAAAAATCAAGGAGTGTTCCAGGAGGATTCAAGAAAAATCCGTCAATATTATGTACTACTATCAGAAGTTTTTATTAAGCTTCATCACACACACCATTTGTATACTTAATAAAAGCCTTCAAAAGATAAAAAAAATAACATAATACATTAAACTGCTATATTGAAAATAATGTACTTAATTTTAATCATCAACTCTTAGGAACTTTTACTTTGAAAAACTCTTTCTAAGGAATAAAATTATATTATTCTCTATAATATATACAGAGCGGTTTTGACGTCACCGGTAATCGTTTACCAAGACCGCGGCGAAAACATCCTTGGAATTTCTATAGAAAAATGTGAAGAAAGACTTAAAATAAAACAAACAAAGTTGACTGATAAAACTAGGGATGGACGAGATTGGATTTTTAGTTCGAGGCGAGATTTTTTATTTCTCATAAAATTTCGAGATGAGATCGAGACGGGATTTCCCTTCTCATACACAACGGGAAATGCACGTTCAAAATTTTTACCTGATTTTGTAACATTGTTAGATGACTGTTTAAATACAAAAATAATGATAATAGGCAAGAATATTTACAATCTTTTATTAAAAAACATCAGCATAACATTTTTTTATTAATCACGCCTAACTTATTAAAAATGCCTACGATTAGGAAACATAGTGATATCAGTTAGGATAGAGTTAAACTTATCCTAAAATAAAATAAATCATAAAATAAAAGCAATATTAATTTTTATAAAATAGTTACTTGTTTTGACTTTTTATAGTAATAAAACATTCCTCACACAGCTTACACTTAACAAAACTTATCAAATGTTATTAAAGTAATAATTACATTTAAAGAATTAATTAAATAAGAACGCCTTCGCAAAGGAAACACAACTACAACACGCTCCTGTATTGCGGGTATTGCATTGACTTTCTGCAGGCGTTTTTAATTTTTTTTTAATTTTTTTTTTTATTCTCGTCTCGATAAAAATCTCGGCCAAAAAGAAATCTCGTCTCGTGTAACAAGATTTAAAATTTCCCGAAATTTCGAGACTTGACCATCCCTAGATAAAACTATACAAAAGTGTAAGATGAAAGAAGCAAAGCCATTTTCCTTACCTATATTGCCAAATTTGAAACTGACATTATGAATGAAAATTATGAAATTGCGGGGGAGTATTAAAGAACTTTCATCAAGTCTGTATAATGTGATATTAATTATGTAACATATGGCGATATTTACTTTGTGTAATTATTCAGTTCTCTTTGTTGTGTTTCCAAGTTTTGTACTTAAAGATATTAAAAGTGTATTTCAATTCAACACAAATCTTAAGGTTTCTTAATTATAGGTCGGCCGGTTAGAAAGCGTCCTCCTCGTAGCATTGGTGCGAGAGAGAGATACCGAGCTGTGGGAGTGAGACAGACTATGGCTCTTCCCCCACTCCGCTGCCGCCCCACCCCCAACCTTCCCGAACACAGCTAATCAAATTAAATTATACAGCTGATCAAAATGTAAACAGCTACGTTCTTCATAACTTGAGAAAACAGGTCCTGCAAAATATTGTATAGCCTAAATCGCATCAATATTTGAGCATCATGAAATGTTATTATATCATTGTGTAAGCAGTTCCATTTGGTAATACAGGATTACAACTCCCACGACACCGGGGCGGCGCCGTGTCGGTGTCGTGTCGTGCAGTGTGAAAACGGCCATTGGCGGAGAGGGGGAACATACCCTCCCTCGCCGTTACCTCCCCTACATGCGCTAAAAATTTAGCGCAGGTCGTTTTCTAACCGGCCGACCTATAATAGCTGTTCTGAAAGTGAACCTCAAACTCACAATTATTACATAATTTGACAATGTCACCTGTTTTTTAGCTATGCCACATGTATAAAACGTTATGTGACAATAAAGAAATATTTATTTTTTAGTGTTAATATTGCAGGATATTAACTTTGACACTACAAATACAATAATCTCATTCTGTGCTAATCCAATTATATTTTCATATTGAATTTCCTTTATTTTGAGAAAAAACTGTTTAAGTTAAATAGTCCAGTAAATAGAGAAAAAAATAGGGGGGTTAACTTACAAACCGTCCGGTCGTTCTAAATTTTTTATATGTTGTCTAGGATGGTAAGTAGGTGTAAAAAATGCAAAATGCACAATTCTCCTCCCTCTGCGCCCACCACCGTACTTTTTAGAGATTTTCACCTATATCTCCGTTTTGGTGCGTTTTAGCAAAAAATATGTAAAGACAATTAAATGTCCTATAATACAAGTTTAACAATTTGTTTCTAGGACTTGTGGATACGAAAATATTAAACTTTTTAACAATAAAAATCTAATTTTTTAGATATTTTGCCAAATTTCTAACTTTAGATCGCTGTAATTCAGTAATGAATGGCCTATTCCAGGAAAACAAGTATTACAATCAAATTTATAAAGAATTATATTACCTACAAAATGCTTCTATTTTTTAGTCCAACTGTTTGATTTGGGGCTAAAAAACAAACAAAACAAATTAAAAGAATTGGTCTATTTGTTTGCTTTTGTGACTTAAAAATTCACAAACTATTTTTCAATTTTTTGCTTTAATTTTCAGTTAATAAAAACTATACTTACTGTACTTACATGTAACAGTGCAATGCTCATGATACAACTACTACATTTTCCTTATAAATACCCACTGGTGAGAGGAAGTGTTCAATTTCAAACAACCCACCAACAGCACAGCAAGTACATTTTTAAATATTCATTTATTTAAACAAAATAATATCAAATACTGTAATAATCTTTACAAACATTTAATAAAATAAGTTAACTAATAACTAATGAAGTAAAATAACCAACATATTAGAACACTAATTACTTAAGCTTCGCTCGTTTAGTAGGGCGTGAGAGAATTAAGACAGAGTCTTCATTGTCCTCCTCAAGTATAGGCTCGTCTAAAACGAAGCGGGAAAGTGGCGGGAGCGGGAAGGGGGTGAGTGACCGGCGGTAACCAGCGACAGCGGTACGTGGCGGGAAAGAGGTAGCCCACACCGAAGCTGCAGGCAGCGGAAAGCGGGACGACTCCTAAGTAGAATAAAAATGATAATATGTTTGTAATGACACGTTTAATGAGAAGAAAGCAGATCCCAATGCATTTGAAATAGGAAATATTTTTGTTATTTCTCGTTTTCTGGTAGATTTTGACGTAATCTACTATTTTCCCGACCCCCTGGGACCAAGCCTTTAATTTGAGCCCTCTCCCATCATCCTGTGAGCTGTCAAACTCTCACAATTTTGATAAATACAAATCCCTTACAGAATTAATAATATAGATTTATTTTACTGTTAAACCAATGTTTGCTCACAATTCCCTCAGTATTTTGGGAATTAAGTTTTGGTAGGAGAGAGTCAAGTAGTCAAGAAGCTAAAGATAGGTTTTTGATTCTACAGCAACGGGGTATTAGTATACTTGTACAAACTTACTTGATTTGTGCATTTCTTTGCCGATATCCTCCCACGATATCCGATATCCTTCTTTATATTCTTGAAGTCCTTATGATTCAAGTCATAAAGTACTGGATATAAATAAACTAGGGATGGTCAAGTCTCGAAATTTCGGGAAATTTTAAGTCTCGTTACACGAGACGAGATTTCTTTTTGGCCGAGATTTTTATCGAGACGAGAATAAAAAAAAAAGAAAAAAAAAAAAAAAAATTAAAAACACGCCTGCAGAAAGTCAATGCAATACCCGCAATACAGGACCGTGTTGTAGTTGCGTTTCCTTTGCGAAGGCGTTCTTATTAATTAATTCTTCAAATGTAAATATTACTTTAATTATTTTAATAACATTTGAGAAGTTTTGTTAAGTGTTAGCAGTGTGAGGAATGTTTTATTACTATAAAAAAGTCAAAACCAGTAACTATTTTATAGAAATTAATATTTTATTTTATGATTTATTTTATTTTAGGATAAGTTTAACTCTATCCTAACTGATATCACTATGTTTCCTAATCGTAGGCATTTTTAATAAGTTAGGCGTGATTAATAAAAAAATATTATGCTGATGTTTTTTAATAACAGATTGTAAATATTCTTGCCTATTATCATTATTTTTGTATTTAAACAGTCATCTAACAATGTTACAAAATCAGGTAAAAATTCTGAACGTGCATTTTCCGTTGTGTATGAGAAGGGAAATCCCGTCTCGATCTCGTCTCGAAATTTTATGAGAAATAAAAAATCTCGTCTCGTCTCGTCTTGAACTAAAAATCCAATCTCGTCCATCCCTAGTTTTATCAGTCAACTTTGTTTGTTTTATTTTAAGTCTTTCTTCACATTTTTCTATAGAAATTCCAAGGATGTTTTCGCCGCGGTCTTGGTAAACGATTACCGGTGACGTCAAAACCGCTCCCGAACCGGGTCCCGAAATTTCGGGAATTTTTCGGGGAAAAAATATTCCCGATTATCGGGACGGGATTACATTTGACTCGGGAATTTTTCGGGACGGGATTTGGTCCGATCGTCGGCGATTTTTCCGCTTCGCGAGTGCCGATAATGCCTTTATTGCGAGCGATAGGTCCGCGAACGCAGGAGACGAAGTCATACCGACGATCGCGTCGTGACCGCGGAGTCCTACCGACGATCGAGCCGTGATCGCGAGTCATACCGACGATCGCGCCGTGACCGCGGAGTCATGCTAACGATCGAGCCGTGATCGCGAGTCATACCGACGATCGCGCCGTGACCGCCAGTCATACCGACGATAACCCCGTGACCGCGGAGTCATGCTAACGATCGAGCCGTGATCGCGAGTCATACCGACGACCGCGCCGTGACCGCCAGTCATACCGACGATAACCCCCGTGACCGCGGAGTCATGCTGACGATCGGGCCGTGATCACGAGTCATACCGACGATCGCGCCGTGACCGCGAGTCATACCGACGATAACCCCGTGACCGCGGAGTCATA